GAAAATCTGAAGAATCATTAAAAACGTATTTAAAAAAAGAACCAATATAGTAGAACGATTGGATACAGATAGGTATTTAATTATTTAGTAGTTTAAGTCAGAAAGTACTTTTATAACTTTTTTTTTTTTGTTTAAGAATTAAATAAATTAAAGCTAATTGAGAGCAATTTATTCCAGTCATTGAGTACGTTATTTTTTGTGGTCATCGAGAGATTGCTCTATGTGGGCATAGATATTATGGAAAAAATGATATTATGTCTTAAAACTAGATAGTAATTTAGCATTATTTATTAATTATTATTATATTAAACAATAATGCTACTATATAAATTACAATTCAATATTTTTGTTTCATCTTACAGTGGAATATTCATTAAATCAAAGAAATATTTTAGAGCCATAAAGAATAGAAAGTATATAGCATATAGTGGTGAATATCAAAAGACTAAAGCATCTCATTACAAATGAAGGACGAAACATAACATTTCCTTTCAAATTCGAAATTAAATCGTTATCGCATTTGGGTACATTATTGTGCCATGAAAAATAATTAAGGAAGTAAATGTTTTTTAGTTTGACGAGTAATATATGAAATTACTGATATTTCTACTACTGAACAATTGTCTTTGTGTATTCGATATATTAATGAAAATAATTATATCTATGAGAGATTCCTGAAATGTATGACTATTAATACTGGTTGTGATTTAGCTGAATCAATACTCAACGGTAAATTAAAATAATTTTATGTTTTTTAGATAATTAATACATTTTGGTTAATATATTTCGTAGATAGATCTAAATATTTTTGAAATTAATTTAGATTACTTTTATAGCCTCATATAATGTAATGGTGTGAGTAATGTATCTGAACAACATTAAGGTGTTCAGTCAATTAAAAAGAACAAAATTTATTCAAAATTTATATAGGTGCACTATGCAGTACATTCGCTGAATTTAGCATTATTAACTTCAAATGGAATTCAACCAATTAGAAACTGCTTAGAAATAATCGGGAAATACTATGTTTTCTTTAATACTCCAAAATGTCAAAATTTTCTTTTACCTACATTAATAATAGGTATTAATTAATAATTAGGATCCTAAGGTTCAACCTTTAAAAAGATTATGTTCTACACAGTGAGTACAACGTTATGATGCAATATTAAAAAATATGAATATTAAAATATCATGATAATATTTAAGAAAGTTTTAATGTATTAACAAAGTTTCGTCGGTTCTAAAAAAATTTGTAATTTTTACTATAGTTAATACTATAACAGTGTTAAGTATTAAAAACGTAATTTTTCATAACTATACATTTTAGTAAATATTATGTATGTATATGGGTCAATTAGTAAATAAACGGTTAGGTTTAAATACCTAACCTAACCTAAATATGATTTTTTTTCCAAAATTTAAATTTTAAATTTTTGGCAGACAGGAACTGGCGTAGCATCATTGTGACGGTTATCTTTTTGTTTTAGAAGTATAATGAGCTACCCAGGTTACATTTTTTATTACAATCATTCAAAAAAATCCTTATCGAAATTTCAGTAAGTATTTTTTTCGTCTGCTATAAGTACCCGGATTACAATACGTGAATAGTAACGATTATTAAATTTAGTTTTTAAGAATAAATTGTAAAAATTAAATATATATTTGTGAATATAATAGATTTGAGAGCTAATAAAAGAGGTAAGTAAGAATAGTGATGGGTGTCGGTAAGAAGAAAGAAAATAATTGACTACCTACAATCCACGTCATTAACTTAAGTCTTGAAAGTTTTTTTATGAAAAAAAAGAGAAACATTCCCTAATGCTAAATTAGCTAGTTGAAGTTGAAGGTGGTAGGAGTACCGTTATTCTTTGCGATTGGACTAATATAATATTTACACTATTAGCTTCAACTCAGTTACTGTTGCTTAAACTTCTTAAATCTGGAGTCTAAATTTAAATATGTTAGAGTACATGTAACGATTGCCGTTTATCGATGTCGTACATAACAGGTAGGACTGTGTGATGAATGGAAGAATGGCGATTGGGGCCGACTGCTGACTAAGGTTTTTCGTCACTCATGGTGGTATATCATAATGATCGATGCGTGCTTGGCGAGTGTGTGATACGCAAGACTTAAAGTGGGAAAAAATTCGAGGGGGGACTTATGCCTCCATATAGTTTTAAGCATTCTATTTATCATTTTATGTATATAATGCCTAATCGGGCTAATGCATATAGCAAGAGTCACCAATTAATATTTTTAAAAGGCCACATTAGAAATCTGAAAAATTTCACGGGCCATCAAAATTTTAAGTACATATTTTTAACATATAACAGGTATTATTTTAAAATTGAATGTAAAAAGAACATCATTTATTTTTATTTAATATTTTTTATGCTTAATATTACAAAATATTTGAAAAAGTTAATTACAAATATAATAAAAATAGAAAGTTTTATTTGCAGGCCGCTATTTGGTGACACCTAGCATTAGTGTATGCATGCAATGTATAAGCAATGATTGTGTAATATACTCATCCCACTTTTAACCCTGAATAATGTTCAAATTCGTAATTTATTTCATAAAAAGTTTAAATCATAAATAATATTTTTTAAGAATAACTAATATTGTATATACAAATTTAATATTTTGAAAGAAAATATTTTTTCTGATAATATTAAGTTGTAAGTAGTGGTTATCTCATAAGGAAACTAAAGAAATTAGCCACACAAAAAATATAGGTTTTGTGCTTTAAATTATACAAGGAAAAATGCAAATTCTAAACATGGTGGTCTGAGTATGTTTAAAAAAATCATATATCCACACTTTACCTTTATAAATATAAATGAATACATAAAACTCAATTTTACATAATATTATCATTATATTATCGGCTAATCGAATACCTATTAATCACAGTATAGCCATTTATGTATAACTAATAAAATTAATTATTTTTACACATATTATATTAGATAGTCCATAATTTTTATTAAATACATTTGATAAAAGTAAAATAACAATTGATAAAAAAAAAAAAATAATAAGAACCAAGATTTATCAACTGAATTCTGAATTATATTGACTAATGTTTGGTTATAATTGGAGCGTTCCGACGTACCTCACGAATAATTTGTTAAAAAGGACGTTTTTTAACCACAATTAGAGGTAGGGGGATCGAGCCCCCCTGCATTCTTCCCACTCTTGCCCATTGGTAATACAAATTGAAACACAACTGCGGATAAAACTCCGCAAAGATCCGCATGACCATCAGCGAATTTTCACAACTCATAACACGTCGACACACCATACCCAGTATAAGTGGTAACCTCATAATATTCTTTACATATTATTTATTATATATTATTATCTGTACTGTATCAATATACGATATATCTATAATATAAACGTATATTATATACTTTACGTTAGATTAATAAAGTAACCCTGATCTCCAGCGTTAATATTACCTACCGAGGTCAAGTCCCTGATATTACGAAGGCCTGCTAATTTGTAAATCGTAATGTTTATCTTACGAACACATCTAGTCTTACAAATTATTAACTGTGGCTATTATTTTTGCTATTTAAGATGTGATTATAAATTGTATAAATATAAATTTCTTCTGCATTATGGACAGATCTACTACATAATGACAATAATTTTCTTTTCTATATTTATTATTTTTCACAAATAATTAGAACTCGTAAGATATAACAAATAAATCTTACCACAATTCATGATAAAGATTGACATAATTTGTTATCAACATATGATAGTAACATGCATAAAATTACTATCAAGTTTGTGCTGTGCAATAGAGATAATAACACATCATTCCACACATAAAGTGCATAAAGCGTTGCATTTGAAAATTAAATGTTTCTAAATTTAATGTCATTCAAATAAACATTAATAATTGTCATGGTTCAAACCAAAATACCAACACTTTCACACCTACCTCTTATAATTCACACGTCGTTAATTGCATAAGCCTTGTCTGGCACTTTCCTACTTAATAATGATACGTTTACAAAAAAAAAAATAATAATAATAATAATAAATAAATTGGGAAAACTGCAAATTATTACGCAAAACTAGTTATTGACATAATCGATTTTCTTATTTCGTTATAATTTAAAAAAAACGGTTGACTTTTTTGATATATTTATAGTCACGATATTTTTTCTATGAATTTCGATAAAATATTTAATGCGAAATTTTTATAAGTTTTTGTAATAGTAGAAATAAAAAAAAAAATAAGCGTCAATCTACAATAACTTTTTATGAGTGTTTGAAGTTAGAAGTTTGACTAGTTTCGTAAAAATTGCGAAAATTTGCAAGTTATTTTGTAGTTAAAAATTCTTAAGATGTTGAAAATTTATAGGTATTTGACATTTTCAATTTAATTATCTAATAAATATTGATGAAAAAAAAAATGTTTGCTCTATTTAGCTTGGCCTAATTTATTTATAAAATATACATTATAAATAGAGACTAAAACACCATCTCCACTAAAAATGGTTATTCGTAATCAATGATTTATCATAGAACTCAAATTTAATACTTCCATTACTCAATAACAAAGTTCGCTAAAAATTTACTACCTATACAGCAGAACAGATTCCTTAAGTTTTTATTTTAGTACAACCTTTCCGTAAATATATTACGTAATACAGTAATAAACATTTTTAATACTCATTGTTTATCAAAATATACTTTCTCTCTTCATATCTATCTATATGATATAAGAATATTATTTAGATAAACATACTATAAATTATTCGCTGTAATAGTTATTGAAGATGAAAACTCTAAATATAAATGTAATATATATATCTATATACATTTATGTAATTTAGTACTTAGTTAATATATAACTTAACTCATTTAAATGACTTTTTTTAAGTTATGAAATCCATTAAATTAACAAATATTGTAAAATGTTTACACAATAAACAAAAAAAAATTATAACTATTGGAATTGCAATATAACTCACTTGTTGGTTGCTGTTTTATGAGTAGCACTTATGAGAGCGTTTACAACAATGTCAACGGGAATCACATCAGTAACAATACTAGAATTAAGATAATATGTATGAAGTACTCCTGAACCAGCTCCAACTACGAGTCCTGTTGGACCATATACATTATCTATCCAACCTCTAACTGGTTCTCGATAAGTAGCTAACACTAAACAAATAATAATTTTATAAACTTAAACCAATAATATAAAAGCAAATGGTTATATTTCTTTACATACCCACAGTGGGTCGGAAAACTAATACGGGAAGATCTTGTGCTTCTCTTCGGACAACATCTTCTGCCAAAGATTTTGTAAAAGAATAAGTATTTGGTAAATCGCCAATGATTCTTAAAATTGTTATTATTATTAAATATATATACATAAAAAAAAAAACTGATAACCTTACTCTTTAGTCATATTTTGAAGCGTTTGATCGTCGTTAGAAGAAATTAATTTCAATATATCAATGTAATCAACATTAGGTTCGTAAAACTTTTCATCGATATACAATCGATTGCAATTTGAAAATGCAGTGGAAATATGTGCCAAAACCTAATCGATTTAAATATCATGGTAAAAGTTAATTGTTAATGCAGTATTTAGATGCATTTAAAAATAAATAAAACCTATTTAAAAACAAAATCGTACCTAGTACCTAATTATTTTTGTTAATTTACTCTACATTCATAGTAATACACTTAAAACTCAAATACACCATTCATTTTTTATTACACAATATCGTACACGAAAGAACATTTTTTCTTTTTCTTTTGAGAACAATAATATTAATCACAAATTAATCATTATTATAAAAATAATAATAATTTTTACTTTAGTGATACCAAACTTTCAATGCATATAGTATAAAATTCAATTATTAATAATTGGGTATGTAGGTTATTTAAATTTTAAATTAGTTAAAATAAATTTTCAAAAAAATGCTTAGAAACGTAAACTATTTGTAATATAAAATAATAAATAACCTATAAAAAATATAATTGGGTCATACATTACCAATATTATATGTACATTATATTTTAGTTTTACCTTTAATTTGGTTATATTCCTGGCCAAGCTTATTAATTCTCTTATTCCAGAAACATTAATGTTCATTGCTATACGAATATGTTCATCAAAACGTACAGTAGCTGCTCCATGGAAAATTATGTTCACTTCGTTAATCAGTTTATTTCGACTGCTTACACTTAATCCTAAACCAGGCAAAGCACAGTCACCGGCTACTCCAGAAACTTTATGATAATACTTAGGCACTTCATGTTTTAATCTTTTGAACAGCTATAACGTTAAAAATATTGATATAACTAATAAAAAAATATTACTATTTTACGTAATTTTTTTTTATACAGTAATGAACCTTAATTTAATTTTCAAGAGATTTTATATAATAAATTATTATACAAGTATTATTAATTTAACTATTTTTTCTCTGATCTACAAAGTAATTAATCACGAATTCATTTAGAAATTAAAAATTAAATGAAAAAGAAGTTAATATTATATGATATTTTTATTTATAAAACGAATTCCAAAATAAATTAAATGTTTATTCATGAAAATAAATGTGTATAAAAATAAATATTTATATTTACTCTGTCTTCAAATATATCTTCCAAACGTTGATCGACGTTTTTGCCCTTCTTAGATCGGATCAGCAAATAAATATGTTTGATATGAGGACATGTTCTAAGTAGTTTTTCCATTAGAACCTTGCCCATAAAACCAGTACCACCGGTTAAAAATACAACTGCATCCCGAAAAAATTCTTGTATTGGACTTCCGATTTCAGACTCATCAACTTCTCGAGGTTCGTTAAAGCTCCGCTCACCCAAAAGCTCCAGAGGATCCATGTAGTATTTGGAACTTATTATATCTTTAATAGGCACTAACGGTGCACTGTCTTGTCTTTTCTCGATATACATACGATGTAAATCGAGAGCCATATTGTTGGAATTTTAGACTCAATAACTGCAAAAATAAAAAAATATATGAATGGTACTTAATTTAAAATAAACATTTTTTCATTATTAATTAGCAATCACTCGTAATAAACACAATTTTATTATTTTAAATAGATGCCAAAAAAAAATCATTTTTTTAATCTTAATAAATTGTTTAATGACTTTCTAATTGCCTGTATTATTATTCAATTAGGGTAATAATGTTTAACCATTAAATTATATTTTTCTAAGACTTTTTTCATTTAATGTTAAAAATAAAAATCATAATATGAATATACGCATTCATAGTACCAACTTATTTCAAAAAGATATTAAATGTAATTTACCAGTGTACCTACTAATAAGTAAAAAAAAAAAAAGTATGATATAATTTTTTTCCGTAATTATATACATTAATGTTTGTACGAAGGACGTAGAATGTATAAGATAGGCAAGTGTACAGTTTAATCATGTAATTTTTTAACTAAATAAATAACTATCCAAAATTGACATACCCAAAATACATTATATATTATGTTTGCTGAATAATAATTTTTTTTGAATTTTCTGTTTATATTCCACAAGTCGAACACTTATGAAAATAACTAATTATTAAAGATAATTAATAGCACTTAATCATATTATTATAAAACGCATTAATTCACAAAAGTATAAAAATATAAAAAAAATAATGTATTGGATTTTTTAGAAACTAGGTAAAATTTATTAAGGGTAATATTAGTAAAATAATTTTTTTTAAATTATCAATTTGTTACAGTACGTATATGGATTTTCTTTTAAAGTTACATTGGTAATAACTAATAAATTATGACAGTAATCTATATTTAACTATGTAAAATAACATAAATGAAGCTTAATTCGTAAGTAATATCAATAAACAAAGTATTAAAATACCTAATAGGTGTTCACGATTTATAATAGTGAATAACATGTTGTTGTATATTTATTATTTAATAAGCTATGGAAAGTCATACTTATGTTTTATATATTAATAAACTATAACTCTAGAGAAATACTTCTATTTTTAACATCATGAAGTATAGTTTAAGAATCCGAACAAGATTTTTTTGCTGTCTAATAGGAATTTTTATCCCGTAATCGCTCTCATTGTCACAAATATTCCCATAGTCTATGATAATATTACAAAACCAATACATTCTTTACTTCGCCCAAAACCTTAAGTATGAGTTTCTTTAACTAATATATTTATAATTTACCTGTCTACGTGACTTGTTCAATGTATTTATTTAGATTAGTTAATAACTAAAAGTCTAATCATAGGTGCTATCTGTTGACGTTGGAAGAAGGTAATTTTTAATTTATTTTAAATTACTTTATATTTTTTTTTAATTTTAAAAGTGTTATTTATTATTTCTTGTATACGTTTTATGTAATCAGTATAATTTAATAATTTTACACGTACACTTTATAAACAATTTAGTATAAGAATAAAAATACAGTAAATACTAATTTAATATGTCTTCACTAATTTAGCGGCAGTACTTTGAAACTTCAAAAACTGCAATTTACCTGTAATGTTCACAAGTTTAGTATTATAGGTAAATAGTTAAGGGATCACCGCCTCTTCTACTATATTTTTATACACAAAAAATAAAAACATTTATTTAATTATCTCCTCCCTCAAAAATAAATTATGCATTTAGGTATAATAATATAATAACATTCTCAATAATTTTTGCATTGAATGATTTTATTCTAAAGTTACTGAAAAATATAAAATAAAAATGACTTTTCATGAATGCGTTTTATGTATTTTGCATGTAAGCCAGAAAGAAAAAGCAAATATTACTCTCATATTATATTAAATATTCTAATACTTTATATTAATACATCATGAACAATAAAGTATGATCTTCATTAAATACTATTAATTTTCATTATTTAGATAATTTATTACGTAAGCATACTCTAATAATCAATTATATTATTATACATTAAAAATTAAGATAATAAGGATTAGAGTTGTTTATATAAAAGGTAAAAAGCTCAATACAAGATAAGAATCAAGTAATCAAATATTCATCTCGAAATTATCAAATCTATCAGACCAAAGTAATGCTAATATACTACTATAATATTACTATAAACAGTGGAGGCTCTTGAACCGTATGAGGGGAGAGGCAGATTTTCAAATGTATTGGGAAAAAATACTGTTAAAATTTAAAAATGAGTTTTAAGTTAACTTTCAAAATAATTCAATTAATATTTAATTCTAACCTTTAACAACATATAAATAATTAACCATGAATAAACCATATATTATTTATATTAAATGTTAAAATAAAGTCAACTATAAAAAAGATAAAATACTTATTACATAAATCTCATTTACTAAAATAAAATAAATATATTTTTTTATACTATATTTTATAAATTAGATCTATCCTCCTGTCTTTGAGTAATGCAAACTACACGGCGTTATGACAACCTCTCTTTTCCTATTTCTATTAGTGGAAGTTGTGTCGCTTCGACAAATGACTAATGGTGAATGTTGTCAAACTCTGAGGCCCGTATCGTTCAGCCTCATTTCATAATGAAATTCCGACTTCCCTTCTACCATGATATATTTTATAACCGTAGAGCCGTCCAGCTCGTCTGAGGCTTAATATTACTAGCCTCTCGGTATTCTTCGGCTTTCGTCGAGATTACTTCATCTTCCACGAAAACTTCGAAATGATTTTTGATAATAGTGACGAAGTATGTATTATCATTATCTACCTACTATGATAATTAATATTATATACGACAAAATACATTTGTTTTGTCATTAAAATAATATATTATAATGGCAAAAAAACTTTTGTATTTTAAAATGTTTATTATATTATTTAATATAATATTCTTAAAATTAACTATAATTATAGTATATACCTCCTTTTCCTTTACAATAGTTAGATAAGGCTTCACTTGCCTCCCCTGACGAGCCACCACTGACTAACAATTTGAATAAAATGATAAATCATGGAAATCCAAAAACTTATCTATAACAGAGCTATTTCTACTATTCAATTTATGAGATATTTTAAATGTCTATCATTTCTCATTTATTCACCTAGAATCTAAATATTTGGTATCGAAAAATTGAATTATTGTTCTTGATTATTTGCACATGTGGTAAATTGTAATATTAATACTATAGTAATATTACTATTATAATTATTTTTCTAAAAAGTTACTAAAAACAGGTTACCCCAGTTTTTGGTTCCATAATTTTAGATTCTGAGTGGAGTAAATAATATATTGATAATACTATTTCTAATATTTTTCTTAGTAATTGGAGAAATATTAATGCAACACTAAATTTTAACGACATCGATTTATTTTATTATATTTAAACAAGCATTTTCAATAACGCCATGATATCATTTTTAAAATATGTAGGTTCTTTTTAAACATTTTATAGACATTAAAAATTTTCTTTTTTTAAGTTTTTCAATAAATGTTTAAATTAAATATAAGATTCCTTATATATTTTCTCTCCATCAGTTGAACATTTTAAAAATACATTAGTAAAGGTATTTTTAATTGTTTTTTTAAATGTTAAAAATTCAAATTTGATGAAATTGGATACTCAAATAAAAAATAACGATTATTTGTCCAGCGATTTTAATTATTTAACAATAATTCATTAATGTTGATTAATCATTAAATTTAAAATCAAAATTTTCTTTACAGTTCAATTATGTACTCAAAGGTTTCAAAGATAAGATACATTTGAAATCTAATAAACAAGTAACAACAGAATAGAGTTCCCAAATATTTTCTTTTTTAACGCCTTCCATACTATTTTTTTATTACTCAAAAAGTTATACTATTTCATTACACTTATATTTTAACATATTATATTATATATTTTATAAGTCGTTAATTAGGTTCAAACCTGAACGTAACAATGAAGTGTTGATTTTATAAAGATATGTTCTTTTTAAAATTTGTGTCTGCCATCATCTCAGTAGTAAAAATACCTTGGTTTTCAACTTTAAAAGTGGTTTCAGGCAGCAAATAAAATCTAGTTGGTACTTTTAAAAAGAAGTGATCTAAAGTAAAAAAGTTTGAATACTTTATAATATAATAAGAAAAAAAAACCAAAAATATAAAGGAAATTATTTTATAATTTATAACTATGACTTATGCCTTCTAGCATTTTTGCATTAATTTGTATATAATTTGCGCATCGTCCATTTTATCTGTACCAAATTATCACACATCAATTGTGCATCAACATGCCGAACAATAATATTGTATAAAAAATAATTTTCATAAATCATGTGTTATGAACAGAGCTCATGAGTTCATGCTCTAAAAAATGCTTAAATAAGTATGCACTTATGCACTAAAAGCTGGAAAAATATACATTGAAATATGCCTTTAAAAGTTCAGAAATATGCATTTATATGCACTAAAACTCTAAAAATATGTATCAACAATATGTAGATTAAAAAATAAAAATACTATAAGTACTCGTACATTTTAGAATAACAAAAAAATGTTCATTCATATTGTTAAAAGTTATATTTTATTATATTAATGTACCCAATTTCAAAAAATAAATTAAAAATATCTACAATAATCAGTTAAAAAAATATCCAGTCAGTTTACTCGCTTTATCTGCTCTATACGTTTTATTTTTAATAATTTGATGTTGCGAAAACTCCCATATATTTTAAACTGTGTAAAAATATAAATTATTGCATTTTGATCGAATTTCGGTAAAAATATGCACAATAAACGCGAAAAACGCATAAATATACCAAATAGTTAAAAATCCTCTAAATATGCAAAAATATGCAACATAAAATTTCACATACTTATCCACAGTTCCTTGAAATGTATTTATATGTCACCTAGCATTAAATATGACTTAGCAAGATTGATATGCAAATGCATGAACTCACGAGCCCTGGTTATGTATAAATAATTAAAAATAAATTGAATTGTAATCATAATCATGTAAATAATGCACATATTAAAATGAATATTTTTTGTAGACATATCACAATTTTAGTTAAAATACAAAATATATATTAGTTTCAATAAAAATTAATTGAAAATAATAAAATTTCGAACATATAAATATGATCTCATAAATTTTCAGTGTTTTTCTTTTCATATAAAAATACTTTTGGAAAATTATTCCAACCTATCCACGATTTTAATTAACTAATTTTTAAATGTACTCAAAACTCAAATGTTAAAATTACAATATAATAATATAATGTTCGCGTCTAGTATGTCTCGTAAAGCCGTACGTCTCGACAGTGTCTCACACGTTTTACTATCCAGTAATCTACTATCTCGTTTGATATACTATGCGATAAAAATCGATTAGTCAACCGTACATCTTAAATAGTTGTGTTATTGCAAACTGATTGCCTATACAATATTATTACAATATTATTTATCATAATTTACTTATTATATATTTTAAAACAGAAATACCTTTAGAATACTTAAAAATTGAATGTTACGAAAGTAAATTTGGAGATGTACGAATTTTAAGATAAAAGTTAGAAAACAGCTAACATTTTTGGGTGTATTTATTTATATGTAGTTCTATTTTATGCGCAAATGATGCTAGACATTTTAAACGACTGATGCGCAAATAATATATAACCCAAAAATCGAACGATGCGAAACTGTCTTTAAAAAAAGATCAAAATTAACAATAGTGATGTACAAACGACAACCGGCGATTTCGAAGTTTTGATGCTATTTTACTATTTTTATATTTTTAGCACTATTTTGTGCATAAACTGTTTTTAAAAGTAAAAAAAAATAGATATATATTTTTTGTCAGTATTAATCAGTTTCATTAGTTTATAATTATATAATAATTTATCAAGTAAATATGAGACTGTTGCCGTTTAAGTAATTTTATCGATAAGACTATCATATTTTGTGGAATTCAAACCGGTTATACCTACCTATTTTTTATATTTTCAGTCGTTCTAGATTTTTGACATTGTTTTTTGTTACTAGTCAACTAGTGCTATACTCAGTTTATATAATTTGTATCGTTTACATTTTTTCATGATGACAAAAAAAAATGTATAACAATTTTAATATTTATAACTGAAAATTTAATATGAAGATTTAATATAAGTTTTCATTACAAAAAAAATAAAAAAATTTTTGGGTAAATCCACGAATATTTATACCTACGTAAATCTGAATAATTTTAGCTTTTTTTGTTGGAATTCAAAAAATATTGATCATATGACCTTAAAACCCTCCACTGTTACCTGTACTATAATTGTTTAAATACTATTAAATTTATTGAAATATTTAAAAAAAATTTAAACTACCTATTTATAGAAATTTTATAGAGATTATTTTTTAGTTTTTCATTTAAAAGTGTTAATAAAAAGTCTTAAAAACGGTCAAAAAATTTTAAAATTTAATATAAGATCCCACAGTTTCCATATAAATTTTCCTTATCACTTAGTAATTAAACAAAGTATTTACATAAGACAACAACTTATCTTATATTAATTTAACAAATATAATTAGTGTTTAATTTAAATGATGATAATACTATGAGAAACATTATTTTTACTTTAAAAAAATTAATGAAAAATAACTTAGTTCTTACCTTATTTATATAAAATAATAAGTAGATAATACTTAAGCGTTTAAAACTAAACTCCTTTAACGAACTACTGTAACAGAATGATCACGAGTTCAAAGACTAAACATTCAATATAGAATGATAGCAAAATTAATAAAATCAGAAGCGTGCGTTTTAGTGGGAATTCCAGGATCGTTTTACCCCCTCCGCCAATCAAAAACCTTCATACTTGAACTTGTTTTCATTTAAATTATAATTTTTTTTTTTTTTTAATAACCAATCGCACGTTATAATTCCCCTTCGCTCATATCATATTCGATAAACTATTTCATATTTTACTATACTTTTAAAACTTAATGGAAATAAACTTAACCAAAATGGTTTTAACAAGTTAATTGCTATTTACTTTTTTCCACTATTTTCTCAAAAACTACTAAAATAATTTCAAAATATTATAAGAGTATAGAACATTTGTGTTAATTTAGTATATATTTTATAAGATAACTACAATATGTGACTTTTAACATGTTGAAACAAAAATAATTACTAATAAAAAAAAACACACATTTATTTAAAACTAATACGTCTAAATTTTTTCTGTTGTTTTAGAATCTCAAGATAATAGTATGTATAATAAGTGTTATAGGTAATCGTTATATTTATCTATGTAAATACCCCGTTCATTTAATAAAAACTTTCTTTCCATACAATGTGATCCTCAATTATTACACTTACACAACAAAAAATTCAAATGAGGGAATCACCATAATCCTCCGCCCTCTGATATCTACGTGGTTAAGCACATTAAAAAATTATGGTTTTATTTATATATCGTGTATATAATCTTTTGTATCAACTTCGTAAAATGCATGTTCAACGATCGTATTATAATTTACATTATATTTCAGCTTATTAAATATTTATGTGCATAAATTTTATAGTTTATAGAATTAAAAATCATACGTATTTATTAAAATAAATTTAAAAATAATCGAAATGTATTACTTATTTTTACGAACACAAGAATAATATTATGATTGTGACTGTTACACACAATTTTAAATATATTTAGCACTATAATAATTATATTGTGTTTTTTTTTTTTTTATTACTATTTAATATTTACAATAGGTCGTCGTTATAGTTTCATAACTAAATTTCGCTCCACTCAAAATAAAGAATTTAATACGTCATTGCGTCATTAAATTCATTTACGATACAAACATAAATGCACGTATATACTGACATCCATCTTACTTCTAGTAGCTACGTGTATAAGTATTTATAATCTACATAAAAGAAATTCAACAATACAATAATATTGTCATGGTCACTATTCTATCTTACATTATATTACGTGCTATGCAGCATAAGTTACTTGTAAATTACAGCAAGTTACTCAGCGCCGACGGTGTATGTATGTACTATGCACCTAATTATTAGTCCATTTTTAAAAATTACGTTTGTAGTCATATTGTTTTGGATATTAACAAATATAAACGTGATGGTGTAGTCCTTGATAGATTTATTTTCAGCTATAGAATAAAATATAAATTGACCCTTACCTAGAATTATCTAAATTATACAGTCGAGTAGAATAGTGAATCAAACTTAGATTTTATAATAATATGAATCCGTGCGCCTACTCGATAGCCACCATGTTGCTTATTTACATTCTCCTTGATTGGACATAACCCATTTACCGTGGGCCGTTTTTTCAATGAATATTTTTCATCATGAGTCTTGTGATTTTTAATTTCATAAAAAATTATTTATACCAATAATTTTAGCTTTCCGTTGACGTTAGGAAAAAGGTACATATAATGTAACAGATATAAAGGACATGCAAATTCATACTATTCTCTTTTTACTTAAAAAGCATATAATACAATTCACAGTTCTATATGATTCATCGAGAATTTTTTTTTACAAAAGTACACCATAGAAAAATTCCACACAATCTATTGGTAAATTCTCCATAGTTATTTTTTCGCAGTTTTAAGACATGTGCCATTCAATATTACTATCTATATGAATAATTGTATCAATAATTATTACTGTTGAGCAAAAGAAATATTATAGGACAATGATAATTATAATATATTATTATTCTAATTACTATGAAAACAGTACACACAGTTATTATTCTTTCTTAATCCATATTACATTTATATAATAGATAAATATATATTTTTTAATAAGATGATAAGTTGCAGTATGCCCATTGACTTTCTCAACACCAACTTTTAAGTAATTATTATTATTGTTTTGAACCGCCTTTCTATTTTAAGTCGGTTTTCAATATTTTGCTCAACGCTTTTTTTTTATTTCTTACATTATATTTAATAAATATTGTATTAAATATTATATAATATCAATTTAAATATACAATAATTGCCACTTATCAGATTCATAGTTTAAACGTATACAAAAACATAGGAAAAATGGACTCACTGCACTAATAAATGGGCTGCATACGAATTGCATTCCTGATATGATAATTGCGATTTGTAACATATTAATAGCATCCCGGGTTTTCTATACTACTTTACTAATTGCATCCCGATAATATTTAAAAACTACTTGGTTCAATTACACGTAAACAAATAGCTGTAAAGCTTTCCATTCAAAATTTAACGGTATGTTTTATTCTGCTCATTCAAATATCAACAATTTTATTGATATACTTCAAAACGTACTGAAATATAGATACTTGCATAAAAATTTGCAATTGTAGTCTAATAAAAAAAAATAAGACATGAAATATACTCGTATTAAAAACAATAATTGTTAAGAAAAGAAATTATTAAATACAACGTGAACAAAATAACACGTTTTGTCCGTTTTGATTTTGTCAAAACTGTATCGTTCAAATTTTTTCCGAGCCATAAATATACTCGTAAAATATATATAACTTGCACACTATGTCTAATATTTTTTACTATTTTTTTTTTTTAATTCTTTTATTTTTATATTTAACGATGAAAACAATATTTTTGATGTACATAATTATGATACGATAAAAAACAATATTTTTAACCCTACAACGCATAATTTTTTTTTTTTTTTTTAATTTTTTTGAGTTGTTATATTACTCCTTATTAAGGGAAAAATACTTAATAAATTGTTTTGGTATTTTAAGTCCCTAAAAAACCAATTTTTTAGTTTGTTGCCTGTGAGCAACACTATGCATTTACGGGTACAACATAATTAATTATTAATAAATTTAAAAATGTATATCTTGAAAAGTTTTATTGTTTATTGATTAACTATAAATTTAACTTAACTTAGCAATATGATATTTATAATATTTATTCAATGTTGTAATTGAATCTTAAGTCTGTATCAAATGGGAAAGAAAATAATGTATTTACTTCGGATGCAATTAGTATAATTCTTAAATATTATCAGGACGCAATTAGTGTAATTGTTTAATATTATCGGGACGCAATGCGTATGAAAAAGGAATCTTGGAACGCAATTCGTTTGCACCGGATAAATGGGGTCAATAAATATTTCTTAGGGCATATTTCCACATATTTTAAGAATCATACTATTTGTCTATTTCTTCGACTTATCACATTAAAATGTATTTAAAATTTTGAAAATATTTTTTTCACATAATTTGATGACATATTACAATACAATATTTTTGAAAAAAAAATATTTTTTTTTTTGTCGTTATCAATTTTAAAGTTTTATACTTTATAAATAACAACATATAAATTTTAAATTAATACATAAGTATATGTAAATATAAATATTTACAAATGTTTCTAATTTGTAGTTTTATTTTCACTTTCTTTATTTTGTTCAGCTTTTACAGAACATTAAATTTATTATTGTAAACGAATTGTTATCTTCTGTTTTAATATCCGAATCCATCTGTAAAACATTGATACCTATACTTTATACTAGTGGTTTTTAAAAGGTAGTCCTTGAACTGTACTTGACCGAATGACTAAACCACGGACATTCGTTCATGGCGACGATTTCCCGTATAGGAGAGTTTATAAAAACACGTTTAGGCACAATTTTAATATTGTAAAGCGCATTTACTCAAAATAGAACATGTTAGGGCGTAAATCTATACAACGTTTAGGCGTAATATATTTTTTAAATATATTAGTATATTATATTAAATCTGAGCCTATTAGCTTTACCCGTAAGATACTGCGAGGAGATTGGCTCAATAGTCTTTCTTTTCCAAAAATATTTAAATTTATATATATATTTTTTTTAATATTCCAATTTAACATTTGTATTTATATTTATTAATGTTATTAGATATTATTCTATTAATTAATTATTTTAGATCGCTAGTTACAATATTCAATATTGTGCCCAAACACGTTTTCATAAATGCGCTCAAACGTGTTAACAAATTTCAGGTCATTTTTTTAAACTGCGCTCAAACGGTAAACGCAGCCCTGTATAAAACCAGATCATATACCTAATTATATGTTACAAAAATGAAATAACAACCGAGAGTTAAATACTAACCTACTCACTTAACGTAATATTTGTATGAAATGTAATTTATCATTATAGTTAATTGATGTGTTATTGTTTTGATTTTAGGATAGAAAAAACGTGTTCATGACATTGGTACGTAGTTAGTACACCAAGTAAAACATAAGAATTCTAATTAACGTAAAAATATCTAATGACCTTATAATCTTATAAATACTAATTCCATTTAGATTTACACGTTTATATTTTGAGATTTTCTAACCTCGGTAGTTTTTCTATGGAAATTGTTAAAGTTTGCAGACTTACTTTTTAAACCAGATTTATTCTCTGTAGGGTCTGAGATAATAAAAACAATGTTATCTTTGTGATCATTACCTATTACAATATTCAATTAATTAATTATTAAGCCGTGTAATATATCATTAAAATGTGTTCTCATATATTATCTATCTATTAGAGTAGTATTATAATAGTTTAAATGAACCGTTTACATAATAAAATACGGTGAGCATATCAAAAGTTAACAATATGAAAAAGTTATAAATGCAATACAGATAATATAGATACTTGAATATATTAAGATTTAGGATGGTCAAATGTCTCGTACTCTTGCAACCAGAACTATTAATTGAAATAAAATACAACTC